TAGAATTATTATTACTCTTTTTTTTAATATTAAAAATACTAAACATTATAAATTATGAAACTATTGACTATTCACTAAGATACTAGATATACTCATAAATTACATTAAAAGTCATAAAAGATCGGCTGAGTAAATATTAAAACGTTAAATGCCACAGTATTTATGATGGGTATCAGTGATGTAGTGCTAAAAATATAAGTGGATATACGCTAAATTCTGTCAAAAATATCATTTTTCAATCATCAATTTTGAATTATACAATATTATTTATTTTTAATGTAATATAACTCGGTGCTCTATTATGATTTAGTTTAAATTTTGTGCTTGATAAAATGTTACAACCGTGTCACACACATTACAATTTACATTTTAATTTTTATTTATAGCAACTATAAATTATAAAATATTACCTAGTAATTGCACTTATTGCAAAATAATTTTCAAGTGATACTTAATATATGGCGAATCAATATTAACGAAAATAATACAATACAATTCACATGAAACACCAGTGTAAAATTGTAAATTGACAAATGTTAATATATTTTTAAAAAAATAAAGAAACTAAATAGTAGTTATACGCATGTACACAACCGTGAACCAACGAACTTGGGTTTTTTTTTTGGGTACACGCATATTCTGAAAAAATGGAAGTGGGTACACGTCGTGTACCCCCGTATACCCTACACTACACCACTGATAGGTATATCGCATATAAGTTTCCACGTTTAAACTGAGTCGCGATGCCGACGGTCAACTATTTGAGAGAATAATATTATATTATTATCGAAAATAGCACCGCTGCGTTGTTCGACATCTTCATCACCATCACCGTCATTCGGGAACAAATAAATTAATACCCACTAAAAATAGCTACGCAAAATCTAAATATACCAACATTGATTAATGATTATAAATACTAGTATAGTATTTTAGTATTTATAATTTAATGATACCAATGAAATCACAAGATCCTACTAAATATTCACATACAATAGTTGAAACAGTGCATTGAAAACCGATGACTTCAGAGGAACCAACAGTGAAAAAATATGATTACACTCATAAAGATTCACATAACATTTGTCGACTAAGGGTCGACCGTGGCACTCAACGTTTCAAAAAATGATTTTAATTTAAAAATATTTATTTTATGATATTTTATATTACATAATGGTTGTGATAATTGACCCATGAAAAAGACAAGGGGGAAGATGCCCCTACTTGCCCCCCCCCCCAATGCGAACGCCCTTGCTTATTCGAATAAGTAATTTAAACGGAAGGCAATATCTCAATGGAAAAGACACAAATACCCTCCCGATAAGCTTTCATATAACAAACTCAAAAACAAAATAAGTAAATAATTTTTCCAGAACAATTCTTTCACCTATAATCTATATGTCTAAAACTTAACTTTGCAAAACTCTAGAAAACTTCTTATATACCATAATCTGGGCTTATACCCATAATTCGAATTGGTAAATGTAATTCGGATTAAATGGATTATAACAAAAGTTTCAATCCGAGTCAATCCGGATCGGTAAATCGGATACGGATGGATCCGGATTTGGTGCCCAGCACTCATATGATATACAGTGTATGCGACCATTTTACTTTACATGATTATTTAATTATTATATTAATATTTAAGTATAAAAGAAAAATTTCAAAATATTTTAACTTGATAGATCCTTTTTAAATCAACTGTGAAAAGTTATCTCAAACTGCAATTAAACTAGATAAGGAAAAATGTTTATAAGAAAATAAACTAACTAGCCAAGTTTAAGTTTAAAAAAAATTGACTTTTAACCCTTAACTTGGCAAAAATGAAAATATTGCACTAAAATTCCAAACTATCACTATTTTTTATAATAAAAACCGTAGAGTTCATTTTTAATCTTATTTTTAAAAAATTTACATTATTTGTTGAGATATTTTGAGTAGATATGTGTATCTTTAAAGATAAATCACCTCAAAGAAGCTGTTTTCAATTTCGTGTCTTTTAAGATACACTACCTCGTAGACCAGTGGTGGTCAAACTTTTTTTTCTTTGGGCCATAAAAAACTTTTTTTTATCGCGGGCCATAAAAAAATGCATTCTACATTTTTTTTTTACGTTAATGCAAAATATTACAGTTATACAAATAAGTGCTGTAATATAGAAAACTTTCGCGGGCCAGATATTAAATGATGGCGAGCCGTAGTTTGGCCACCATTGTCGTAGACTATATTTTATTTTTGTATATTAATGGATACATCACTACGAATTCCTTATTTTAAATCTAGTATCCATTAGTGTACATCACTTGATTATTTCTATTCTAAGATTTATTACTCAAAAGATACTAAGTATAACTATGTAATAAAAAAACAAAAAAATATTGTTTATTGCTTTATAATAAAAAAATTTTTTAAAAAATTTTAATAGTACAAAAGATTTAATGTTTTCAAAAACAAATTTAATTAAGTAACAAATATCAAGAAAATAACACAAAAATATAATTGTATTGCATTTATTTCTGTTTATGATAAGTGTAGAAACAGTTTCTTTCGTTGAATTTAATTAATCTTACAAGAGTACAAAGTCTCACGTTACACTTAGTACAACTATAAACCGTCTGACCTTTGGGGCACAACGTACATCGTCCTTTTTTAATTTTTTGGTGTAAATGGTCTTCGTTATCCAAGCGCATATCATCCGTAAGTCTTAATTTGGGTAATTTCTATGGGTAAATAACTAATAAAATATATAAAATTTTAATACTTTATATTATTATAATATCGTAAAAGCATAAAATAATACGCGCAATATAGGGAGCGAAATATAATTAGTATTGTAACGACACCGAATATGCTGACGAAGTGATTACGAAATCACGAACGCCACGACCCGTTCCGACCTAATGTTCTCTATAAGAGACTCATACAATACATTCGATAAAATTAGTTACATCAAACATAATAGAGTGGAAATTAGTTCAAAACACTCATTGATAGTTGCCGAAATAAGAAAAAAAAACCAAGCAATTATCACTATCGGTTTATAATCTATAGACATTTATATATACCAATTCCGTGAAAATAATAACAACGAAATAATATAAAACAACTATATTTATAATTCTAGAAATTCGAATCCCACATGATTTATAAAATTATTTTTGGATTATAGGGTACATTTCCTATAAATTCAATATATAATTGAAGACAATTCATTATCACATTAATAGTAATAAATTAAATATTGTTGTCTCCTTTAGAGGATCCTGGGTCTGAAAGGGATAAGTAGAAAAGTAAATACATATAATAATAAAAAAAAACTATAGATTTTATTTCAGAATCTAAGGTTTCGTATCTTTTTAGATACAACATTATATATAAGGTGGGTGAGCAATGTATCTCATAAGAAAAAACATTATACATGAGGTAGTTGAGCAATGTATCTTATTAGATACATCAAATATCAAACATAAAAAAAAAAACAATATTCGAGCGTTAAAACCAAATATTTAATTATATTATGTAGGGCGTACCGGTCAGGATTATAATAAATTAATCAATTTCGCATACAATTAATAATTATTGCACAGCGGCACAAAAAAAGAACTTTTATTTCAATAAAAATCAATGCATGACAATATACAAAAATATACCAAAGAAAACATACAATGAAAAAAACTCGACATTGGGCTACTCCGCACACGATGGGTCGTCGAGACGAACTAACCACTATCCACCAACACGAACAATATAACAACTACATATTATCACACTATCACACATATCTTAGCACCAAACTACCATCACATTATTATTTATTACTACAATTAAAATGAAGATGAGGCCAACCTGTATATGTTCTACAAGTTTGAGCTCGTTGTCACATTTATTGACTTATAACTCTCTAAAGTTACAGTAAATCATAAACATATAAGTACACAACTTCTCGTGTGAGACAAATGTACTTATATTAAATAAATCTTCATTATGTGTGTACATATAATATATCCACATAATATATGAACAAATAATAAATATAAGTATTATTTTTAATTTTTCTACACAGAGTTAATTATGATCGCTGAAAATATAGACCTGGAAACACTTATAACACTTGTCCAACAAAGATCAATCAACTATAATTATAAAGATAATTAAATTCAATTATTTGTTGTACGTTTTTTATTTAAAGGATGAACCCACATTATTTTTTTGTTTTCCACTCTTATCGATACCTAACAACAAAGACCACAAAATAGGGATAGTAAATTTTTTCTTCATCGGAAGACATGTTAGTAACTAAATACGATACTAAATATTACAAATATGATTTCAACCAAACGATGACTATCACAGTTTTGCTATATTGGTGTGGCCGGCCAAAAACAAATTGTTTTTAGTTGATTTAAACAAAAATAACTAACACAGTTTTGCTCTTTTGGTGTGCGATCTATACTCAGTAATATTCTCCTGTTAAACATGCAACACTCCAAATCATGAAGCATAATTAGTAATTAGAAAAACTAAAGTTCAATGTAAGCGATATACCTATAAGTAATACGATACATAATTTAAGTTATCGATTATATCAACCTATAACCATTCAACCAAAATATAAACTCTTTGTAATATAATATTAATAAAAATAAATAAATTTGGTCTTTATATGTTAATAATCTGAGTTTTAATACTTTTCTCTAAATTCTCAACGAATTAGAAATAAAATTAAACTGTATTGGGTTAAAATGAACTTTAAGACCTTAGATCCAAATCGGATAATAAAGCCGAAAATGGAATATTAGGATAAATCATAAAAAACCTAATAGAACTAGTTTTAAATAAGAACTAAAGACTTTGTATGTAAAGATATCAAATATCAAATAACGAAAAATTAAAAAAAAAAATAATAAAGAAAATATTATAATAATTATACCATATACATACACAAAAATATAAACATGATCAAACAACTTAAATCAAAATGTTATTAATTGTTGCAGAGGTTAACTAATGAAATCAGGAATCAATTTTACAATAATTCAACGACAATCCCATCAAATGGAAAGAATCATAAATTAATAATATCCGATGAGTTATTGAAATTCATTGGAACACATCGTACACTAAATGAATTGGTAAATACAACTTTTTAATGGCTTTTGTATAATTCCAAAAATAACTAAACTATCCGTTTTTACAGACTCAATGGAGGCTCCTTTTAGTAAAACTAACTGGAAAAATAAACGAATCCAACCAATATTCAGTCGTAAACGACAATCGGTAAGCATATCTGAATAATCATTGATTATATAAAAAATATTATCTAAACCATAATTTATATTTTAGGACGACAAATATCTACAATAATCAGTTAGTCCCGTACGTGGGACGGAGGACACTCCCATCGGTTTTATGCACGATGAACATTAGATCGTTGCAGAGGTTATCTGATGAAATTAAATATCCATTTTACAATAATTCAACGACAATCCCATCAAATGGTAAGAAATTAAGATTAATATTTTCGTATGAAGTGCTTGAACAAAAATCTAATCAATTTCTTGTGAAATCAGGGAATACAAATAAAATGA